ATAATTGATCTACTTTTTAACTGCATTTGACCTTTGGCAACACAGCGGACCACCCAAGCCGCGTTGACCTAGGCCTCGGCTAGAATCCAATATCTCTTGGTCCACCTGGCCAATGGCCATGCTTAGCAGCTAATTGAATGGCGGCTGTAAGAGTCAAGATCATTCACAGTAACGTCAGTTTTGTCTCCATCTTCATCTCCCTCTCCATGCTCATATTCATCTTCATCTTCATCTTCATCTTCATCGTCATCGGCAATTGCAACTGCAACTGATCCAACTGCTTTTCAGCTATCAGAGCCGCCGCATGCAGTTAGCTGCTTAGCATTTTTTGCTGGCCATTTTGGCTCAATCGTGCTCGTCGACAACGTCGTCACCATCGCTATTGCCGTTTTGTTTAACTACAATTACTTATTTAATCATAATTTTGTTCGCGTTTCAACAATCATCAATCATCAAATGCAATGCCGACAGCGGCCGGCAGAATTCTGTGACTGGGCCAACTGTCAGCCTGACAGATTGCCCGCTTTCAGCGAGAGAGCAGACGCTGGAAGCCGAGCAGGAAACCGGAGAAGGTGAACCAGGGGGAGATGGCAAGAAGCAGCTGGCCAAGCCAAGTGGAATGCGCTGCATGCCTCAGCTATGCGGCAGCACGGTCTGCTGCCCGCTCGTTGCCCGTTTGCTGCTCCAGCTGTTCAGCGCAAAAAGTAGCGTCAGCGTCAGCATCAGCTTCAGCGTAAGCGGCAGAACGCTACAATTATCTAGTCAGCAGTCAGTCAGTCAATCGGCTCGTTGAACTTGCAACCGGCGCTCCAGCTTCAGCTATTGCTGCGGCCACAGCCGACACTACTTTTGCCCCGCTGCTGCCCTTGCAATCGCACAAATCAATCGATCACGTTTTATAATGCTGCAGCAGACTTGGTTTAGAGAGAAAAAAATCAACAGCAGCAACAACAACACCGAGGAAAAACAAAATGAAAATAAATAAAAATAGAGGAAAAACTGAAGCGCAACTGAATGAACTTTCCAAATGGACAGCGCGCGGCTCGCAAAATGCTGTCGGCGTCAACTGAGCAGCAGCAGCGGCAGCAGCTGCAGTCGGCGCAGCATCGCGGCTAGATGGATTGATTGATTGTCTGAAACAGTTAGCAGACATTGTCTGGCTTGGCTTATTGCTATTTATGATCTTGATCTATGGATCGAGGGCAAAAGCACATGCGGCGACGTTGTCGTTGCCGTTGTCGTTGTCGTTGTCGGCCAGCCAGTGCACATGCTGATAATCAGCACGAAGCCAGTGCCGATGTCGATGCCGATGCCGGTGCTGATGCAGAAGCCGATGCCAAAGCCGAAGCCGAAACGACTGCAACTGAAACTGATAATGATGCCAGCACTGGCCTTGATTGCGGCTCTGGTCGAGGTTTCTGTTATTTTTGTGCATTTTTTTTTTTTCTTTCATCTTTCAATCATGTTCGGGCAGGGCAATCAACGCTCGCTACATGCAGCAGTTACCGCCTAGTTTTTGATTGAAAATATTTTGAAAATCGTTACAGAAAAACCTTTAAGGGTAACACTGCCCCCAACTCGCTCGAGCCCGATCCAGAGCACAGGTTAAAGAGCTGACTGGTGTTAAGTGCACGATAATCGATTCGACTCGCTGCAGACCAGCCCAATTTTGGTGTTGGCGTTAAACGGCCAAGCGAAAATTGCCTATTTATGGGCTGAAGCATTTACTGACGAAGTTGTTGCTCTGCTCGCTTTTGCAGTTGCTGTTGTTGTTGCTGTTGATATGGCTCTGACTGCCAGCAGGCAGGAAACCATATATTTGCATGTCCACCGAAAGAGTCCATTAAATTTTGGGCAACAAAAAAATGTATATATATATATAAATACGAGATTGAATAAAAAAAACCGCACAATCAAATATGTGCATTGAAATGCATTACAACAGCTCGTATTGGGCATATAAAAGCGGCACAAAAATTGAAAACTGACAAAAAATCGCATGAAAACATTTCAACTGGTTAACACAATTCACGAGTTTTTTTACAGCGCTTTAATTACGCATGTGCCAAAAAGACGGCGATGTTGAAAAGAACTGTGCGTTTTTGCTGTCTTTTTGTGTTTGTGTGTGTGTGTGTTTTTTTTTTTTTTTTTTAATTTTTAATGTGTGCTGCTCGGCAGCAATCAATGAAAAGTCAATAAAAATCGGCAGACAGACGTTGTTCACACGATCAGTCAGTCGGTCGCGCACACACGAGCCAAAGAGTTATCATTACGTTTGAGTTTAACATGCGACTTTGGTGCCGCAGCAACAACAACAACAACATCAACAACAACGACGACGACGACGTGTTAAGTAGCATTTTATGAGATCATTTGAGATGTCGGCGCTGGCGGAAACGGCAGCAGCTGCAGGTGCGCCAGATCTGCGCTGCAAGCTGCCCGAAAAAGTTAGCCAAACTGGCAGTCGGTTAGCATGCTAATTACACGCCAGCAACATGTCGCCAAGCACTTGTTGTTGTTGTTGCTGCCACTGGCACACACGCACATCAAAAGACTTAGGCAACGAACAGCGAAAGGGAACTTTAAGATCAAATGTTATGTAAAGCCGTGGAAACTAAATTAATTACCCCAAAAAATATATACATACATATATATGTATATGTATATTAAAATGCAATTCACTTTGAAATTAGCGAGCACAGAGTTCGTTGATCGATCGGGATGGCAAACGTTGCGGGCTGCTGCAAATTCGCTAATGATTTATTTAAAGCATATTGCCGGCCACATTGAGGCAGCCCGACCCCGAGCCTAACTGATTGGCCGGCGGGGGCCAACGAGGTGGGCGTCGTAGGCCTGGGCCTGGCCGCACCCTGTATGCGTGGCATTGGCAACGACCCAGCCAAACTGACCCAACCCCACAGCTCTATCTATGGCTACGTATCAGCGCCTCGGGTGCAAAACGAAATCGACATTGAATGCGCTACCACAAAAATTGTGTGGAGTCTGACTGTCCGTTCGTCCATCCGTCTGGCTGTGGGGGGTGGTGGAATGGGCTGGGCCATTTCCGTTCGTTCAATAGCGGCCAAACATGATATCGCACATTTCAATCAATTTACTTCTTATTGCCGACATCGACGAACGGCAGGCCAGCTTTGGGGGCAATCCCGTTAGTATAATAGACCATAAAGGTGCGCTTGAAATGTCGGCGAAAAAATTTCACTGCCGCAGAATATACATACATATGTACAATATATATAAATATATATATATTTATATTTCGAGATATGCATATATGTATATGCCGAGCTTTAGTCTGAAGCGTGAGATGCGACCGCATGCAAATTTATGCACGACGCGACGCTGCGGCCCAGCTCCACGAAGTGTTCGCCTGACAGACACTTGTCAACATTTCGGCTCAGCCATTTTGTTCTCGACTAAACTATGCAAATATGTGTCAAGCCCGATGGCAATGGCAGAGTCATGTCAGCTGCTTGACAACAACAAATGAAGATCAAAGTTGGCTTATTTATTTTATTTTATATATGCATCACAGCAGAGTTGCAGTCGCAGTCGCAGTCGGTGTATAAAAGCCGTTACGCCCCTGCAACTGCAACTGCAACTGCAGCATCGAGACGAGGCAGCTCAGCAGCCAGCCAAAAGCACTTGGCAAACACTTGGCCTGGCTAAACTTAATGCAACAGCAACAACAACAGCGGCAGCAGCAGCAGCAGCAGCAGCTATTGCTTTAGCATCGCCGGCAATGGCAACACATTTTTCGCGCCCAAATGTGTTGGAGGCGTTTTGTTGTCCACTTAGAGACGAGGGGCTGTCTGTCCATGCCCCAGCAGCCGCCGTCGTCTGGCTGGCAGGCAGGCTGGCAAGCAGCCAAGCAGGCAGCCACTAAGCGTCTTAGGCACACGTCAGACTGTCGCTTCTGTCGGTGGCGTGTGTTGCTGTTGCAGTTAAAGCTGTTGTTGTTGTCGTTGGTGTTGCAGTTGCCTTTTGTTGCCTTTTGGCGCCCGTTGTTGTCGTTGATTGTGGCATTTTGATTGATTTCTTTTGACTTTTGGCAGCAGTCGCAAATATTTGGTAGTCCCACAATCCAGCCAGACTACAAGACGCTTCATCAGCAATTTTAATGCATACGTTAGTATTTTAACACCTTGGAATTGGCAGTTGCAGCGGCCGATGACTATTTTTGGTATTTTAATGCCAGCTTAGTGCAACTTTCTACCACAGCAGACAATGCGATAGAGTTGAAGTCAAAAAAATTTTATATGGCTTATTCTGCAAAATCCGCTGTCTGTGTGTGTGTGTGCGTGTATGTGTGCGTGTATCAATGGGTATTTTTTTAAAAGTTGCTCAAGCAAATTGACCATAAACTTGATTTCTGTGCACATTCAGCGACAATTTGTCAAAAATTCTGGCCGCCTTCTCCAGCAGCTCGGGTATTAAGGTCAACGTCAGCATGGAATTGAACACCTGGACGACCACGGCGATGACGCGTTGCCCATTTCGGCCAGTTCGACCAGGGCGGTCGCCATCTGACAGTGACTCATGCGCTTGGCTTCAAGGTAAAGGCGAACCTTTTGCCATTCTGCAATTGCAGAGCATTCATATATATATATATATATATTTATTTATACATATGTAAACGAGTCTGAACATATTTTGCATAAAGACATTCGAAAAAGCGTGAGCCTGAAGTACAAATCAAAGTGCTGATAGAATACATATTCACATCTCACATTTGAGATAGTTTCCAATTATATCTGACCGAGTGAGTCTCTAGCGAGGTGTTGAATAGCTCAGAGCATTAAATTCGCTTGTGCTTGTTGCCTGGATTTAGCATAATTCGGTGGTTTTCTTGTGGTTGCGACTCAATTCTGTGGCCGAAATGAATCTTCGTGTGGTTCGTCGTGACGTTGCGGTGGCTTCCTGACAGCCAATTTGCATTCATTTTATATGCCACAAAGCAACAAACAAACTTGTGCAGCTATCTACAAGCTATCCAGCCACACATTGACATAGAACGGCAGCAGCTCAGCCACGAACACAGTGGCTGCCAGAAGTAAGCCGACGCCAAGGCAGAGTGCCACATAACGAAGGTCCTGCAGTCGCAGCGGCTGCACCTGGCTGGGCGTGCTGTAGTCCTTGATTTTCATGCGATCAGCTTTGACCATATCGATGAGGCTGTGTCGCATCCAATAATTGATGAGGCCGGACGAGCGCGATCTCATGGTGAACATCATCAATCTTCTGCGGAATATGGACTCGTCGGCCAACAGGATGCTGTAGGGATAGTTCTGCGACAAGCACAGCTCAGAGTAGCGAAAGACCGGCCTTTGAAAGTAGCTCTGCAGCTCATTCATTACGACCCATTTGACGGCTGTGATTGGGTAGGCCCAGCTCGTGTTGAAGCTATTTCGCAGCTGGAAAAACCTCGTGAGATTTCCAGTCAACCTGAATGCTAACGCATATCTGGCGCGGAATTCATCGTCCAAGTCGTCGAATTCCTCGCGCAGAGCAAAAATACGCAGATTCGATGCTAGCAAGGTGTCAAAGCTGTCAATGGGTGCTTCCATGGGACACATGATGATCAATGAAAACAACTGGGCCTGGCAGGCGCACAGCACTAGGAGAGCTAGTATCCAGGGTGTTATCCGCAGTCTACGTAAGCAATAGCGAAGCCAAGCTGGAACGATCATGCGATCCACATGGAGCAAAAAATAGCAGGAGCCTAAACTGATGAGTAGCAGAGCCAATGCCTTTGCCTCCAGGACTCTCATGAATACGACCCGCAGGTCTATGTGACGCTTGATCGGCAACATAATGCACCAGCCGCCATAAAAGAGGGGATACGAGTATTGATAGTACCTATGAAGAGACATCCAATGACAATAGGCTCTTAGCTTTGCCAAGTACATTGCTTACCTGCTCTTAAATTTGTGGGTCATTTGTGTATTGATCAGACCAAAGTCGATGCTTCCATTCCTTGTGAACTCCAACATATAGGCCTCGGTTAAGATTCTCCCCCGCCGCCAAGTGGGCAAGACGATTGAAATATTGGCCCCAATCTTCTGCGCAAATGTCTCCATCAAGCGCCATCCGTAGCCCGAAATACGTTGCTCTCCGTTTGCATCGCGCTGAATGATTGAAGTTGGTTCGGAATAACCAGGCATGATGCGCACAGTGTAGCCTCCAAGATTGGCCAACTGGTCAGGAAAGAGTTCATTTTCTCCTCCAGCTAATCTAGAGTGCAGTAGGTTTCGTTTGATCAGCCTGAATCTGGGGAATGCTGAGAAGCTGTACAGAGTCAAATGGCTTCTGTCTTGCTGAAAGTAAAGCGCCACATTGAGCATGGAATTCTTCAGGCAATAGGCCAGGACTTGACTAGCCAACAAGTCCTTGTTCGATTGATGAATAGCGCTGCTGTCCAATAGCTCAATGAGGACAGGCATATCTCTCAGGTGATTCAGACTCGCAGATAACCCAGCTAGGCCGGACACGTCAAAGCTCGCTGGCAAGCAGGCCAAAACAAACAGCTCGCTGGTCTGTTGCTCTTTCAGCTGGGCAAAGGGCACTCGATTGTGCCACACCCACTGCGGTTGGCCGCTCAAGCTGCCCCGCGGCTGCCACCGCTGCCAGTCACAGTCCAGCCTGCCGGGATTGTAATAAAAAATGCTTCTTCTATCGACGAGCTGTAGCACCAAGGCATACAGCTGGTAGATTTCTGCAGCTAAGCTGGCACTGCCGTTGACCCACATGACGCCCGCCAGCAACCACAGAGGACTGCAGCACCGCAACGAGAAGTAGAAAGTGTAACGCAATGCATTTCACATTGCTTACCCTTGTAATTGCTTGGGGATATGCCAATTATGGCAATAATATGTTGCTCGAAAATAATTATTTCTGTATTTGCATTGACAGCGAATAAACAAACAAATTTACTGTTTAAACGTGCATTACTGTTAATCAGTTGTGGTTGCATATGGCACACATCAGAATGTAAGCCTTTAGCCTGGCGTGGAAAAAAGGCACAACTCCTGCCCAATTGGCCAGGTCAACCCGAAGGGCAGCCGCAGGTAAGCCAAGTTATTTTTATACAAGAGTATTATTGCCCATTGATGAAATGAGTGGGTATATTGGTTTTGTGCGATGCTCCTTCTGCTGTCGGTCCATCTGAACACAAACAATTCGTTGTTATTGAAGCTAGCAACTTTTATTTTATAAAGTATCCTCGACTACATTATACAATATAAGAATTAGTAGATATAGATATAGTATAGATATAGTATAGATATGGTATTTTCCTTGGTCTCCAAAATGAGCTAGTGCAAACCCATTCCGGAGTCCTTTATGACTGAGTATCATGGAATCGTGCACGCCCGCCTGCAACATGTTTACATATTTTTGTTTCGTTTCGTATTTCTTATTTCTTGTCCGCTGAATGCCAGAGTTCATACGGCGTTCTTTATGTGCACAATAAAACATGATGGCCATCTCCATTGATCCTTCTGGACAGCAATCGCATAACAGCAGGAGAAAGTTTCGCTTACCATATTAATTTCAGGGTCGAAATTGAAAATCGACTTTACGTTTCATCGACATATCAAATAATTTGCAGCAAATTATAAGCGTTAGGCTAAACGAAATAGTGTCAGCCGTCCCCAGTGACACCTACTGCACGATTACGGTTCCAAATTGCCCCACATGTCGTGCGGCTGGGTAGATCGGCGGGGCATCCCATCGCTGGGTTGGCTTTTCCACAGGCAGCCCACGGGCACGGCCACATAATTTATGGATCGTGTTGTGAGAAATTTGTCAACAAATCGTGGCGCCATAAATTGTTGATTTTTCCTCCTCCTCTTGCGCTCCTACTCAATTTTCTTTTCTCCTTCTCTCTCTGTCTCTCATTTTCTCGGTGTAGCTCAGTATGGCAATTGTATGAGGCTTGGAAATATATGAGACTCTGTCTACATTCATAATTTCAATTGATTCATTTCGACAATGATTAACACTTAGAATCCCTCCATGGGTATAGCAGACTTTGAGCTTTACAGTTAGATGCTTCCTATTGAGTTATTCATTTGACCAAGCTTGGCATCAGGTGTTGACTCTGCTGCCTGAATAGTCAAAAATCGTGAATACAAATTTGTATTATGTTGCTGCAAGTAAATGCCTCTTATTATGGCGAATAGTAGTTCTTCGGTTTATGTTAATCGAATTGGCCCTGGCAGACAAGCAGCCGGAGACAACATCACAGCTTCTCGAAGGGGCACTATAAGCCACAATTTGTTAGCTGATACTTGGGTGCCTGTTGGCAGGCTTTTACATAATTTGGTTGTTTTCTTGCGGTTTGCCTGCTCGTTGCTTATTTCTGACGCCGAATTGAGTCTTCGTGCTGTTCGTCGTGCCTCTGTGGTGGCTTCTTTGCAGTCGATTTGCATTTATTTTATTTGCGGGCCAAACAAACAGCAGACATAAGACAACCAAAACAACAAACAACTCGAGGTGTAAGTTGGTAGCTTTGTTCAGAGAATTTTCACCCACTGCCAACGCCAGAGGCTACAGACCGTGCAGATCTGCAACTAATGTCAGCAGGACATGGCTAGCCTAGACTTGTCTCTGTTCTGCTAAGCGAACTATTGAGCTATTGCTACATATTTGTAGACTAATTGTCATGTATCTCGAAATCTGATATACTGATAAACAGAAATGAACTGGTCTGTCTAGAACTGCCTGGTTGATTACGCAACTTCGCCTGGCCATTCGAGCATCTCTTGGACTGTTGCCTAAGTTGTGGTGTCAGCGTTTTTAAGGGCTGACTTGCAAAACTCCATGAACTCAATTAATATGGCATTGTTCAACATTGTCTAGCACAATTAGATAAAGAGTTAAAGAGTCGGGCTATGAAAGCAAAAGTTTCGAGTTGGACAAATGCTGTTGGCCTGACCTGTCGCCAGGCTGCCCACTTGGCTGGGCTACCACAAAGCAAGTGCGACGACAATGGTCAAATGTGCTGGCCAAAGTGAAGATGCAGCTGGGATCGCAGACCCCAAGCCACGACAGCGAGACACTTGCATACAATGAATTGTTGGTCTTCACACACACACACACACACACACATAGAGCAGAGAGCGAGAGAGACACCCACATGGCTGCACACTTGTAACTGTGGCTCGGTCTTAAGCTTTGCCCCTGCACAAGACGGGCAGCAATGTCCATGTCCATGTCATCATCATCATCATTATCATCATTGTTGTCGTCGTGCTTGCAGTGTCTCTATGGCCGTTCCTCTGTCCATCCATTCGTCCATCTGTCTGTCTGGCTAGCACTTGTTTTATCGTCATTTTACAAGCATTTTTCATAAATTACAGTTTATTGTTGTTTGATAAACGGCCAACGGTGGGCGCTACTTGTATTTGTATTTTGTGTGTCCAGCAACCACGACACGCAAATAAAACCCAAACAAGAAATTATTGTAGTTTTTATTGTACTAACGTCAGCATCGTTGGCGTCGTCTGCCGCTGCTTGCCTCACTCGCTTGATAAGTTAAGCGTTGACATCTTTATGTGCGTGTGTGGGCACTAAACAAGCAAACAAACCCAGCGTCATCATCTGCAGACGGCACTCGGCGCTCGGCAGTCCATAGTCCGCACGCCGCTGTCGACCATCGACAGTTGCCCAGTTGGCAACCACAAACCGAGCAGGAGCCATCATAAAAATCAAATAAACAAATGCGTGTTCAATTTTGGGCTGCCTCGTGTCATGCGTTGATGACAATTAAAAATTCATGATGCGCTGCTTAACGAGCATGAGAACTTCTTGAGACTTGGTCTCAAATCTTGAAGTGAAACATTTCGAAATGGTAAGCGGCTTACATATAACTGCAGCTGCAGTTCAAGGCGTAATCAGAGGGAGAGAGAGAGTTAGTAATCTATAAACACTTTTATTTCATGCCTCTATTTGGTAATTATATCTGAATTTGAGATAATAAGCTACAGATTTGCATAATAACATAATACAGCTTGTACTTTTTTATGGGAAAGTTTATTATACCAAAGGCTAAACACTAGATCTAAACATGACTTCTGATCGAGATCATGAATATGATATGGATATATCAGCAAAAATCTATTATTAAGTTCAAGAGAAGAGGCTTTTGTGAATTTAAATATGTATCAATCAATAAATGTTGTTCTAATATCATTACAATTGATTCGGTTTAAGCTTTAAAAATTTTAATTAAAAATCTGAATAAAAGATAAAAAATAATTTTCAAATTTGTTTCCAAGAAATGTTTTTAATATTTTTGACAGCTACAGCTATATTAAAATATAGCCTATTCAAAAATAAATATATATTTTTAAAACATTTTTTATAGTTTGAATAAAATCGAAGTTAAAATGTACATTCTATACACTCCTAGTTATCCGTCAAAAGCCAAGTTAATGAACAAATTTGTAGGCCAACTGGGTGGAACCGAAGCTAAATTATTAAAAATAAAATAGAATATTTTGAAAAATGTATCCTTATTTTGAATGCAATGCAAACACAGCTAGAACTCGCTCCACCCTCGCCGAATAAATATATCAGAATGTGAGCTGGCGCTATTCAAATGCTAAATAAAACCCAACTTGCCCAGTTTTGTGATTTACGATTTCGCTGTTGGCCCCTCAGGGCGACGGAGTGCAAATTACCAATGTAAAAATGCATGGAGCCAGCGAGTCCCGGGAGCCGGGCGGGTGCTGTGCGGTGTGCGGTGGCATTTGCATAATTTTATGGCCACAAATTCCGCTAAAACAACTTAATTAGATATAAAATAAAAAAACCGAAACTATAAAAACAAGAAATAAAGAGGCTTATTTGAATGCACTTAAATAAACAAAATCAAATCAAATATGGAGAACATGTCCCTTCGGGCAGCCTGCCATTGATTTATTGCCCCGCTGCCTGCCAATAGCTCCATTTTGGTTACTGAAGCTGAGTGATTTACATTCTGTAGCTGCAAAAGTAGCCGATTGAGCGAGTGACTTATCTGGCCGGCCAAATAGGCTTGCCGCAACGAGAGCAACGCCCGCCGTTTAGTTGGCCGCAACGCGTTCGTCTTTAATGGCCGCTAATCTAGTTAACAGTTTTTCAATTATAAACGATTTTGTGCAACTGATAATAAATGCGATAAAACATATTTGCGGCCGGGCCGATGCCAAACGGCTGATTACATCACAGGCAACGGGCAGTCGGGCAGTCGGGCAGTCGGGCAGTCGGGCAGACAGGCTGTCGAGCAGTCGAGCTGTCGGGCGTATTGCGGTTGCAAATGTCAAAATAATTTGCTTTTTAGCTGTGCCTCGTTATCTCGCCTAGTTGGCTGCAGGCGTTAATTGATTTAGTGGCTACTACTACTATGTAGTTACAAACGAATCATGAAAAAAGAGATACATTTTTAATGCTCCGATTGGAGCTGATATCATTAGAGGGCCGCCCTTTGATTGAGGCAATCTCTAATTGGCATTTGGGGCAGCAAATCTCTGAGTCATTTCTCAATTCAATAGATGGCTATAAAATTGCGTATTGAGAAATCGCCACATTGCGACGCCCAAAGGCGGCAAACAATCTTTACTCGGCAACAAATAAAATTAATGAGCTTCAAGCTGGACATGGACAACAGCAAAAAAGAAAAAGAAAAAAGCTCTGCTGCACCGCTAACCCAGTTCAAGTGGCTTGCAAATGTCAGTAAGGCATTTTTTGATAAATGTGCCAAGCG